GAAAGTCCAGATTCTGGTCTAGCAATAATTAATGAGAAAGAAACAAGGAATAAATACTCAAAGGCAGCTACAGACTTTCTTCTCTCTGTCATTTCAGAAACAAAATCATAGTTGATGGTGTTTTATAATGTAAACCCTTTAGTATCTGTCTCAAAATTTGATGAAAGTCTTAATTCTTTGAACGAGAACACTGTTTACAATAAGTTACATACACTTTTTCTCAGGGTGGCTTCCCAACTTAAGTATTTTGTGGCCACAAAACCCTATTCTTATTACATGTCATATTAAGTAAAAATACAAAGAGCACTTGACAAGTTGTAATTAAACATCACTTGGAAGGAAAAAAAACAGCTGGAATAATTAAATTAAACTTTCTGCATAGGCTCTGAGCTACTCCATCTCCACTCGGATTCCCAGCGTTACAAAGAAAAATATTGGACATGAACCAGGAAAATGGAAAGAAAAACACGGAAACATGGAAAGCAAGCTTGAGGACTGTGATTAGTAAATAGCTCATTAGTAAGGAAGGCGAGAATAACAGTGGCTCGACACCATTTTTAATTGGGATTTCCCTTATTAGACAGTTTTAGCACACATTTCCGATTGTGTTAATGTGTCATTGTCAATAGCATTGCGTATCTTACCAGTTGTCAGCACTTTAAAACTTTAATAACCAGTGCCACTGGTAACAGCAGGAGCTGCGACAGCTGAGGAGTCGATGTATGTAGTGTTATACTCTGTTTTTAGAAGTTTAGAACTTAATGGTAGCCTGAATTTAATCAGGGTTTATAGCACCTCAAAGCAGTTCTTTGAACAGTGTCACTTTTTTAATTTCATTTGATCCCAACCAAAGGTAAACTGCAGGAGTCTGGGAATTCAATTTTACCATTATGTGTTTTTTTTCAGGTGTAGGGCTGATATATAATCTTTTAAAGCAGCTGGCTGGAAATAAAAGCACCATGCAACCTAAGCTATACAGGTATATGCTTTACACTAGATATTTTGATTGCATTTGACCACATATTCAGTACAGTAAATCATGTGATTATGAGCATTGGAAGCAAATATTTCATCACCATACTGAAAACAGAATATTTCTACATTAAAATGATAACATTCACCAGTTATAAATAAAAGAGATAGTTTTATGCAATTTGGTAATCAATTTCACATGAATGCTTATTACATTGATGTTCTTTGCCAACTCAAACAATTCCACTTTTCTACCTTTTTTAAAATAATTCCCAGTTTTCCTCAAAGCTCTTCCAGTATGACTGCACAAATAATGGTAAAAAGGGATTTAAAATAGATTTGCAACTAACAGACTTTCAACATATTCCTACCACTGGTGATTATACTAGCTGGAGTAGATGAAAGTGCTCTTTTATTAAATTTAGACTCCAGCCACTTGAACAGCACTTACTAAAATGAATTGATATTTTCTTTCTAGCTATTTTTGACACACACAATGTTTCTTTCTCTCAGTTTCCATAGCACTGTCCCACAAATATGTACATGTTGCACACTTGGTGCAGGATTCAAAATGCATGAAAGCCAAAAATGTCAAAATACCTGTGTAAATGTTCATCTGTTTTCTTTTTGTTATGCTGATTTACACCATGGTTGACAACTTTAAGATTAATCGTTTTACACAGAGTTTTAAAAAAATAAATTTATTGTGAAGAAATAATGTTTGTAAGCCCAGTTTGCCCATGTAGCAAAATGAATTTTGACTGATTACACAGGTAATGTGCTATCCTTATTTCAGTCTGGTTAAAAGAAATATCAAATTATTTTTGGACCAGTGCTTTAAACTATGTGTCTCAATGACTGATGGTACAGAGGCTAAAATCTGGTCCCTAAACACAAGCCTTTTCCATATATTTTTCATGAACTGATTTCTTGGAAAAAGTCATTTCTACAATATTCAACAGATAAATTGCATCCTCCAGCAGATATGTTATTCCAGAATTCCGATCTTAAGACGTGAAGAGGCACTTTAAAATGCATGTCAAACTTCATTCACGTCTTGATCAATCACATAGCCTTGAGCACAGTCACAATAAATCCTTACTCATTATGGAAATAAGATACCTTCTTTACCTAAAACTCAGTATAAAACTATTAATATCCTAATCAAATGAAGTTCCAGACTTGAAGCGAGGTAACAATAACTTATAATTAACAACATAATTAATTTAAGCACATACAGTAAGGCCGAAGTGTTTCACTATACTCATTAGAGCAAAGTAACTGACTATAGTTATTATATTTGATTGCAAAAATAATTTAGATTTTACATCCATTAAAAAGTGCGTACTCTACGTAATGCTCTGCTCTATGAATGGCTGCTCTTCAGGTCGGCATTGTAAGAATTAGTTGTTATTTTGACAGATGAAACAGAAATCCTTTTACTTGAATATCAACTTCATTCTATTCTTTAAGTACAACAGACACCTTTAAGTAAAGTGTGCGCTATCCCGCTTTGTTGTCATGCTGAGAAACAACCGTTCCTTCCACTTGCACTACATCGATTTTCTTGAGTGTTTTATGCTTCAGTGCTGAGTAATAGTAATTCATTAGCATGCCTTACACTTTTTAGAAGGCCTCATGCCTCTTCCTTTAATCAACATAAATCCACATCTTATTCCTGGGAATACTGTGGTCTCCAGGTTCCCGGAATTTATGTAGTAAAGATTTGTTTACTACGACCCGCTGCGGCAGAACTTCAGCCGTACTGTTTCAATTCTGTGGCAGACTATCTTCAATTTGATCATTTTGCTTCACATATTTTCTCAAAGTGCAAGTGTGTAAGACGATAACGAAATTTACAACCCAGGAACCTGAGCTTTTATACAGGTACAGGACTGTGTGTCAAGAATTTACCCATCGCAAAAAGATGGTACGAGTTTTTTTTTAAATGGAATTCCCAGTTTAAAACTAATTGGCGGAACCTGAGAATTGGCAAAGCGTGTATGCTTGATTACATTTTGGTCTCTTAATGGAAAAAGAAACTACTTTTAAAAAATGGTCAATTTAAACTTTTACAAGTTACAAATATTTCGTGTTAATCTAAATTCTATATTGATATGTAAATGGTATGGTGTCAGCGCCCCTGCAGCTGTATAAACAGAATTTCTCAAAACCCAACCAGAAGATTGTTCAGGAGAACGACACATAAACTGTAACTACAATCCTAAACGCAACCTTCCCATCTACACACTCGGAATTCAGCGGTTTTCTGCACTGTTTTCTTCATACTTCTCAAATTCACTTTTTAGTTTTTACTGACAAGTTTCTAGAACGAAATGGGGGATGGCATATTCTAAATTGCGAAAGTAAAGTAATAAAAACAGTAATTACTTTATTTAACATACAGTTTTTCGATTCCAGTCTGTTCGAAATGTATTTTTGAAAACTGATGCAAGATGATCTGAGGACAACATCTGAGGGAAGAAACGAGTGGAATTCGGTAAGAATTTATCATCAAAAAGGCTATTAACATTAACGATTGTGATTGCAGTCTTCGCCAAATCTAGCAGCTCTTCAATTCGAAAACTTGCCTTTTCAGATATGTTAAAAAGGCAAATACTTTAGTTAAAAAAATAGCAATCGTACAGATATTCTGAATCAATTTCTCTACTGAGACCTTAAGGGCCGATCTGGGCTACTGTTCTCAAAATAATCTTCTGATATAATAAGCAGAAATCCATTCCTAAATGGAAACTTTTAGGTTAACATCTGACAATATAATACATGATACAGTTCTCTTTTGCGCATTTTATACTTTGCCATCTAGTGCTCAATAATGATTGCAAATCACATCATTTCAAATCACAATGAGACTTCTCTTTCGGATTGCAGAACGACTCTTACTTTCTCCAGAAAAGGTGACGTTCAGAATAGGCTTGTGAGACTTTATTACGTCACAAATATAGGAAAAGACCAGAGTCATGCATTAACTCTCTGGAAACACAATACTGGTAAGCATGACGTCTCTCTGGCGCCTCTTGCTGGACTCGCATACAATGGTATTTTAGCTGTAACTTGTACAGTACAGATCCTACCTGCTCCAAGCACTGCTCGTTTCAACTTATTAACCCATCAATTGTCACCTTACAAACGCCTAAACCTACCCCAACTGTTAAGGACAGCTAATAAACGGCTTCGACTAATAATAATAATAATAATAATAATAATAATAATAATAATAATAATAATAATAGCTTACACTTATATAGCGCTTTTCTGGACACTCAACTCAAAGCCCTTTACAGGTAATGAGGACTCCCCTCCACCACCACCAGTGTGTATCCCAATTGAAAATCAACATTGGTCTCATCAAAACGTTCATTAACAGCGTATATTTGTGGTAAGAAGAAATTACTTTGCTCTGTTTTATTAATTTTCAAGGTTTTAATACACTTTATACAGATGTAATACACATGCATGACGTGGAAAGTAACTGGGACAACGAAATGTTCATTAAAACCAAGTTAACAGCTGCGACAGCACGAAAACATCGGATAAACTTAACTTAAAGACTTAAATTTCTGTCGCGCAAATGTGACAAATGACGAATGCACAGAGGTCGTAGACCTCTTTTCCAATTCAAAACGATAACATAATGTGTCTTAAATGAGTTTCAGAGGAAGCTGGTTCTTCGCCTGATGAAACGTCTTTTCCTCCACAGCTGGGAGGAGGGGGCTGGCTGGGACACAGGAGCATAAGGATTTTTACATTTGTGTTTGGGCGCATGGTGTTTCTCGGATGTGGTAATAAATAAGTGCATCCTCTTGTTGTCGCTTAGTTCAGAGAAAGTTACACTGCAAGCAATGAATGATAGGTTGTAAAGTTGTAAACAGGTCTTCTTGAGCTTAGATGTAATTACTGTACCTCTAACAAAACCCTCGACATATAATTAATAGTATTATTTTTTTAAATTATCCCTACTTGGGCTAATGCATTTGGTTATAAATGAGCAGTTCATACCAATTAAAGCGTAGCAATTGGCAAAAAAAAAACTAAACAAAAGTGACCTAGTCGTAAACCAGTATAAGTCGAATTCGTATCATTTACCATTGAGGCAGGCTGGGGAAATGTCTTTGGGACTACAAGGCAGTGGAAATACAGTAATTACTTTTTTGTAGCGCGTGATTGACATTCAGATTTTTGATTTTCAGCCAACTACGCGGCTTTGACGTCGGTGGAGCTGTCAGATTTTATAAGAAATCACAAGCGGACGGCGAGCTCAAACAACAGACCTGTCTAGGAGAGCCCGAGCTGCTAACAGCAGAGCCTTGCTTTTCAATTTGCTCTCGCCGAGGGGAAGAGCAGGTTAATCTCTCACGGCCACAGCGCTGTGATCTGTAAAAACGGCACCGCCGCCGCCTCGACACCCTGGGTGCTTTTTGCAGCCGGCAACATTGTTTTGTGGACATCCGTCTGACGCCTGTGAAATAACTGGGACATTATTCCTTCATAATGAATGCTAAATGATACCTGAGACCCCCCTCCCTCCCCCCTTCCCTCCTCATGCACTGTAGGTCCTTGCAGAAGCACAAGACAAGTTTGTTGCTCCTGGCCGTCGTTTAGTTCGGTGTGAGACACCGCCGTAGAGAAGAAGCGGCACGAAGTTTCCCCGCGCTGTTGAGCTCCGTACACGAGAACCAGCGGGCCAGCGAGAGCGATGGAGCTGTCCACCGTACCTGGGGCTGATTTCGCCGACCTGTACGCCGTGTTCCCCGCCAACGGCACCTTGCAGGAAGAGCCGAGCGGGTTCATGCCTAACGGGAGCCTGAACTACACCGAGCTGAGCACCGTGAAGAGTGCCACAAGCATCATCATCGCTATATCCATCACAGCCATCTACTCCGTGGTCTGTGTGGTTGGGCTGCTCGGAAACATCCTGGTTATGTACGGGGTGGTAAGGTAAGACACAAGACCATTATTCTTTTCTAGTTTGTCTTCAAAGCGACTTAGATTAGTACCCATTTACACAGCTGGGTATTTCACTGAAGCAAGTACCTCGGTCAAAGGTTCAACAACAAGGGTACGACGAAGCCCCACCCGGGACTTGAACCTACAGCATTCGAGAATCCTGACCTCTGCTCCACGCCTTTTACACAACTGTTTCCTATTTTCTGATTTTAGCTTTGTTTAAAAAATATTTTCATATTTTGACACCCCCTTCCCCCCCCCAAATAAACTTTCAGAAATCACGGTTAATAAAAGATTTCGTACCGAGAACATTTAAAGGTATGATGAATGGAGTAGCTAATTCTCTCCCGCGTTTTCATCAGATATACAATACAGTACAGTATATCAAAATGTACAAAATTCATTCCCACTCCTTTCGCAGCGCTTGTTGTAGGAACAGGCATGCGAATTATCTGTGATTGGTATCTTCGGATTAACCGCAAAAACATATTTTTAGGTTAAGTATGATCTCATTAATAAATCCACACAAATACACACCTTTATCTGCTCGACCCGACTACTTCAATTAAATAACAGAGACAAAATCAGCCAAAAGATATAGGACTAGTCGTATTTGACTACTTTTTCGAAGAAATCTAATCACAATTCCTGTGATTTTGTATAACAATGTCAATACAGATGATTAAACAGCGATGGCGAGCTGGATTATAAGTAATGGTACTTATAATTCAGCTCATCAGTACAAGAGTATAATACAGTACTGAATTATAGTAAATGATGGTGTCATTTCTGTACTGAATTACACTGATGTACATCAGTACATACAGGTATGTAAAATTCAGTACAGAAACTATATTTTGCACCTGTTCTAGATAACTTTCATTAAGTGTCAGTAATATGCTTCATCTTTCCCTTTTTTGAGAGTAGACAATCTTTCCCCAGATTTGTGGAATTTGATTCCGTGTATGGCAATTTTACTAAAATGTTGTACTGTTATTTCCTACTGAGCAAAGGATAGCTCGGTAATAAGTAAATAATGTCATTGGATCGCCGTGATCAACGACTTTTAATGTCACCTTAGCATTCACCTACAGAGACACGAGCTTGTGCCGCTGTGCTCATTGACTAGGGCAGCATACTGTATGCAATGCAAATTGCGGCTCTTTCTAACGTAACACTGCGCATTAATTGCTTTATTCTGCGATTAACATTCCTGATACACGAAGGTGATGCTTCAGTCCAACAAAGGCTTGGTTAGTTGCTTCAGCGAAGCGGAGCTATATTAAAATGAACGCAAAAGGTCGGTGGATAGTGATGCTGATAGTGAAAATGTTCGCAAACCCACTGTAAGTACCTGCAGGCTGGTGAGATTATACAGTATCTGCCTGGTTGTAAAGTGGACTTGTCGACAAGGCAGTTAAGCAATTAAAACCCAAAATGACTGACAGACTGAAAAGGTTGCATATACACTTGTCTCGTTAAGCAATGCTCTGCATGTTAAGTTACCCCATTAACGCCGACTTTGAAACCATATTTCGAACCGCGCCATGAAATGTATAGTACAGACGATGAACCACATATACGTTTTCGATTTAACTGGAACACTTCAGGGATCGACATCTTTCTCCGTAGTACAGTACTTCAGAGCTGTTGCTTTTAATTAAAATGAGAAGTAGCATTTAGGTCTTTACTTTTCAGTTGCGTGGATCTGGCGTCATCGGGATTTCGAATTTCTAAGCAGCGCAGAACAATTAGGACACGCGTGGGAGTGGGCGACAGTGGTGGAGGCGTTCAAAGCGTACCCTTTGTCTGCTATCCCAGCTTTATGTTTACTGTGTTATAATAAAAGATGTTTCGAATGGCATTTCTGGTTAAAGCAGTGACGGCAACGTGCGAGTTATATTTTAATGCCAAACTTTTCGAATGCGCAAATGGGGCTTTCATTTTCTATCCGAGAATCAAGGGGGCAAAACCTTCTATGATACTCAGCTGCTTTGTGCTGTTTATTTAGGAGAATTTTCATGCCCAAGTTTCTTCCATGATTTGTAAGATTTGCAATGAAACGCACGAGGTTAGCTACTGCAGCGATTTCTGGACTTTGGGACAATAATGATCTATGTCAGCACTAATGCAATATTACACTGATACTAAGGACTACGTCGATGTTCAAAGTTAAATCTATGTAAATTATAAAGAGGGGCAAAGATGGTCAACTATATTTTCTAAATATTCGTTTTTCAAAATATATGTATATTTCCAAAATAATGGACATTGTGTACTTTCAAAAGCTAAAAAAAAGAAGAAATTTGTAACAGGTGTGATGATAAAAGTAATCAGTAAAATGTCTTCACACAAAAAAGCATGACTGAACCATGCTAAC